ATTATATAATCTATCTTAATTACACGATATTACTGGTTTAATACTTAGCTTAATTATCTAATGCAAGGCTAATGTGAATTAGCCTCGACTTAACCAATTCAACTTGGCTGCTTCAAGGTCTCTTAAACCCCATTTGTTTGCTCACTCTGGTGCGAATTAGCTCGTCGTTACAGATATATATAAACACGATTACTGCTGATAAAAATACGAGAAATCATGTATGCAAAGGAGAACAATACCAATATCCTGATAGTAATGTTAAGTAAAAAGGCCTACTAGGCTACATTCACATCAAATGTATGGCCCTTTGTACTCAAAGGGATGCTGTCCCGATCCATCAAAGTTCACCTCAAAGTCAAGTCCCACGCCTTCCGAGGTCACATCGAACCCTACACATGGATACAGCTTCCCATAGTTAAACCTCTCATCAGGTAACGAAAAAACATCACCTGCTAGAATATCAGCATAACGTTTCAAGTATGTATCGGCTGGCCACCTACCCATGTCTAATCGCTTCCCATTCTTCGTGCAGAAGCCTTGTCCTGTATTCATGTTTAAGCAAACCCCCACAGTATCCTTTGAGCCGAATACCCCTTGTTCTCCGAAGTCCTGACTGGGACGATCGCCATCAACTGAATCAACGAACAGTAAACCATCATCACCATGGTATGCCCATGATCTTTCGAACCAACCGGGCATCTCGTCCTCCCCTGTGTCCCATCCACAGAATCCAACTCCTAGCCACCTTGAGAAATGCTGTCAGTCGAGGGTTCTCAAAAAAGAAAGAACTATGACATACTGGCAAGGTGCCTCCGCCAGAACTTTCACCTCGTAGTAAAAGTAGTCGCTCTCAGCACTAATACAGTGATCGCTGCGAAGACAAACCTTTCCGACATCGTCAATCTCTTTAACCACATTGACGCCTAAAAAGAAGTTAGTGTACCTCTCGAAAATGGGATAAGGTACGCACGGTGCACTTTTCCACAATTCGCATGACCTTCTGTGGGGCATGTAGATATATATACGGCCTGGAGAAACTGCTCTCCCACAAGCGTTACTGGCGTGGTAAGCGGAGGAATCGATGACGCTTCTCTTTGACTTTCCAGATAGCAGAGAAGATGCTTAAATGTGCCCGTTCGGTTGAAGCTTTTGACGAACTCGACACATGACCATCCATCTTCATCGAAGCCGTTCTCATCTGCATTATGAGATTTGAGTTCTTTCTTGAAACCCAGATGATTGAATAAAGCGACCAACTCCCAAGGGCTCGAGAATCTCCCCCAAGACTTTTCTTTCACGTTAGTTACTAACAATCGGAGTAGTGACTCCTTGTTGATCTCCTCGATCTTGTCAAGAAACCACACTAAGAACTCATCGAGGAGAGTTGCGTCAGTAACGCTCTCAAGTATTTCGGATATGCTCGAGCTGTATGCATTGCTGGATGGTAAATTAATGAGTTCCTTGACGTATTTGATCCTCTCCCCGAATGAAGTCCTTCTATGCATCAATATTTGCCGCATGTGGTCGATTTTATCCTCCTGGATTGTGAGATGTACAGGCGTGTTTCCATAAGCGTCCTCCAAGTCAAGTTTGACACAGTCCTGGTCAAGGAGAAGTGCCAAGCATTTTGGATATGGCGAACACGTTGCAAAGTGTAGTGGAGTATAGTTACGCCATCTTGTAGCCTGTTGATTCAACACTTGTGGTTTGATGTCAGGTTTGTCTTCGAGGTGAGCAATTAGCTGCTTGACGATCGCGCTATGGCCGTTCTCGCACGCCCAAGAAATAGGCGGCTCGTCCCATGTCCCAGGTTTATCAATCAGTTCAGGCCACTTGTCTAGAATTCTCGGAACAACTCGAGACAGGCCTTCTCGACAAGCCGTAACCAACGAGGAGTTTCCCTCACCCATAAACGGACCATCTTGCTTCTGTTCAAGTTTCAACAGATATATCGCAATCTTTTCATGCCCGCGGGCAATGGCCATGTCTAGCGCGGTCTTTCCATCTGAGTCCGCTTCCGATGGGTCATAATTCCTGCGTACTAGGAACCTCACCATACCCATAAGACCTCGACTCGCGGATAGAAGTAATGACGTCACGCCTTGCGAATCTTTGATGGTAGGAACAGCTCCGAAAGCTTCCACGAGTGACTTGGCCATAGTCACATTTGAAGCAGCAAGTGCATAATGAAGAGGTGTTCGACCACTCTGGTCACGAGCATTAACGTTGAAGTTTTTATCACACAGTGCGGCAATGGTGCCTCCGTCTTCAATCTCGACCGCAATATGCAGCAGGGTCTTCCGGTGCTGGTACTCAGTATCTGGCTTTGGAGAGAACTTCAGGAATATCGCGCGATCTTCCTGACCCAGACCTTCTGCATTGCCATGGTCAATGGGTGTCGGAGCCTCAATATTCTGCTCTTCGTCGGGTTTTGGAGAACGCTTGATTCTCTTGGCTTCCAGAAAATAGTCAACAGGAGACTTTTCAAAATCATCAAACTGATCAGACCGTGCTCCCATCTTCAAAAGCTCAACAATCACCTGGTCATGTCCAAACTTGCAGGCAAGATGCAGTGCCTGTCGATGCCATAAGTCCTTTTTTAGCACCAGTTCTAGATCGCGCATAGTGTCTCCTAGTTTCTCGCTCAAAAGCGTCATTTCGTAGAGAGCCCCAGCCTTTGAAATCAAGTGTAAGGGAGTCATGCCATCTTGACCACTTTGATACATCCCATGTTTGACAGTGTTCATAGATTGATAAGTTAAAAGATCATAGAAAGGTCTTCTATGGTTGTGTATGACAGAGGTAGTGGTGTGTATGACGTTTCTCTCGAACGCATCCTGTAGATCAAGTAGGCGTTCCGAGTTATCTTTGGATCTTACGGACTCGGCATATAAATAGTAGCTAGGACAACGTTTTGGAGCAACAGAGCCATAATGAAGTGCACTCCAGCCGAATACGTCGAGCATCTTGAGCCGAGCTGAATTTTCTGAGACAGATGTAAGTAACCCAAACAAATCAGGAAGCCAAGTTTGACAGGCAAACCTTTTGCTTTTCCCCGAATTTCAAGCATGGTGACTCGCGGCGACTGTCGACAAAACGTTAAGACCATTTGTAAATAACCCTAGGATGACATCATGACATACCTTGTCTCTCTTGAGAGGTGACACCAAGTCGAAGTGCTGCTTAGAAAAGTCCAGAGTTTCTATAGCAAAACTTTCATCCAAGAATTCATCGTCTCCATCCTCAGATATATAGGTGTCAAGACACTCTTCTTGAACTTTCAATGTTGAGAGAGCCTTTGTCACTCCCTGCAGCTTGGAGAACTGGCGGAAGATCCTTGCAACAGCCTCGCCACGATTTTGAAGATGGTAAAAAGGAATTATCTTCTCCATAACAGTTCTCAGTCCAGCCGAGACAACCGTGGCGATAATTTCACCAAGTTCTGAATTGAGCTCCTCTGAGGGCTTTGTGTTTTCGTCGTATGGCTCATAAGCAAGTAACACGAAGTCCATCGCGGAAATGATAGCAGCAGCAGTAAGCTTTTCTATGCTCTTGCCGCTAGGTTCTTTGACACGTTGAAGGAGCCTCGTGTGACACATGGCCACTTCTACCCACCCGTGGCCGGATCTGATCCGGGGCATAAGTTTGAGTATTTCCTGGTTAGGTAAGAGGCCCATATGGCTGAATGCTGGTATTATGCAAAGAAGAATCTCATTCATGCTTCCGAGACCATATGTTTCCATTTGACGAATGCTCTTGCTGAGTTGGCGATGGCGAAGTCTGGGTCGGAACCACATCTGGTCAAAAGACTGAGAATCGAACACGTGAACACCTTCAATTTCGACTTGGCGAATACCATCGACATGTGTTTGGAGGACTCCTTTGGATAAACGTTTGACTGCTGTCCAGATGAAGCTGGTAAAGAGATGCTGTGCCAATATGCAGGGCAGACTGCCCGTTGAGCTGATACCGAACTCAGAAGCATCGACTGCAACAGTTAGCGTACCTTGAAGTCTGGTTGTTGTGATTTTGATCTACTAACCATTTTCAGATTCCTCTTTTGTTCCAATGACTAGGTCTCCATCCTTGCGCCAATGCTGGCTTTTCTGCTGGCTAGTGTCTTGTCCATCCTTACGTATTTCGCGAACTCTCGGATCGCATTGATCAGCGATTATGCCATCAACCCACCAGGAGATGTCCCTCTTAAGGACATCGTCCTTCAAGTTGTCGCCGACAAGGCGACCATATTTGTAGGTCAAGTCATTTCCAGACTGGGTGCGTCTCCAATCTTGGGAAGAATCCGTTTCATTGTCTTTGTCCGTCCGCTCTTTGTTCAGCCTCTTCGCTTCGATATCAGCCATCCATAGAGACAACGCCGCATCAATCTTCCCAAGATCTGCCTTCCACTTTCCTTGGGAGCTTCTTTTCACAGAAATCTGTATGTAATCTTCCTGCAAGTGATCCCCTTCCTCTGGCCGCCTCGTCGATTTAATCTCCCAGTTCAAGGCTCGAAGTTGGCCCTTGTTGCCATCCCTCATATTGTGAGAGAAGGTATCCATGAAATGCTCAATAGACTGCGCCAAGGCCCTAGCACTCTCGGAAGCCTTTGAATTCCATTTACATAAGTTACTCAGGCGTTCTCGTACACGAAGAAGTTGTTGGCTCGATGGTAGATGAGGACGTTCATGAACTGATAGTTTCGGTTCATGGTGCCCCGAAGCAGCCGTGCCAAGCTTTCCAATAGAATCTTTTTGAATCCCTTCTGGAGACAAAACATTGCTAGAGTCCTTTGATCTGTCAAGCGAGACATCCTCCGGAGTGTTAATATACCAACGACAGAATTCTGTTGGTCGTCTTTCTTTCCCGAAGGGCTTTTCATCTTTCCCTTTACTCCATTGAAAATTTAGAAAGTCTGGATTGAAGGTTATATGCGTTGCAAGGAAGTCGAGCTCATATCCAGCAAGCGCAATGCTATTCACAGGCAAACGTCCCAGTCGTCGACGGATCCAAGCCCTGATGAGAGCCATGAGAATGATGGCCCCGAGCTGAGCAATGGAGCATGGAAACGCAAGGCCACGGAGGCCCATAAATTGAGCGACAAATCCGATGCCAGCTGAAACAGCAGCACCCAGGGTTGCCAGTCGCCACAGCTTCTGAGAGGCCGTCAGTTTCTATATAGGCGATGAGCATAAAAATGGGACAGCCCACCTCTCCTGCCTTGTATTGTTGGATATCATACGTTTTTCGTCTTGAGGTCATGATCCGACGTTTTTGGCCTGCCAAGATGACATAACCTTTGAAGGTTTGGTCGTTAACAGTCTGGTGTTGCTGCACCCACAGTAATGAGAATCTCTTGTCTTTTGGACTCCCATCGACCCTTTCTAAGGAGTGTTCAACTGTACTGCGTTCCACAATGAACGAACAGAGGCCAGTACCAATAGAGAGCATAACTGTACCAACAACATAACATGGAAAACCATAAGCCTTGGTTTCCAACAAGCTATGGGAGGAAGGGCTGAGATAAAAGGTTATAATTGCTGCAATCACAATGAGACCAAGTTGCAGAATGACACCAAAAATAGCGGCTAGTGCTATTTCTTGACCCTTTGTCGGTCCTGAATGGTCGGAATAATCCGATGAAAGGTTCAGCTGAAGATTCGACGATCCTTCGGGCGGCCTAGAAGTATCAGCTTCACCAGTAGCCTTTTCATCCTCTACTGTGTTGATGTTACTGTCAGGAGTGGTCTGATCAGGTAAAGCCGACACGGTCATATGTCCTGATTCCATATCTGAACTGGTCTGGCGAGGCTCCTTGCTGTTCCAACTGTGACGGAGTTTCCAAATAACGATGAATAAACCTCCCATGACATAAAGGATCTGGGAGATGGACTTCGGAAACTCTTTCCACGAATTGTTTAAAATCTCTAAAGCTTTGCGCACAGTTGTAGATTGTTCCCGAATCCAGGCTGTGCTTTTGCTTTCGTAGGCTATGTATCTTAGGATTAGCGACGCTGAGATGGGGATGGTGTTTCATACGTTTGCACTTCATCTCCTTACACCTCTCCGAATTCGCGCTTCTGAAAGATTCGATGCCCCATGATTCATCCTCTGCGGGTTCGGTACCTCCGAGATTGTCTGCGTACTTTCTTTCCGATTCCTTATACTTCTTAGGAAATATCAGAAATTCCGTTATTCGAGGTTTACCCATGGCCCTGACAATAGAGTTCCCATTAAACAGTTCACAAACCTCCCCTGATGTTGAAGACATGAGCTCAATCTCGGCAAGGGCTTTGTTTTCGCGGGCACGCCCGATAAAAGCTTTTGCGACCGGAGAGCCTTGTACGCGGATAGCGGCAGTGATGGCAGTTAAAATGCCTAGAGTTGTGAGCAAGAAGTACCAACTGTAGACGAGATTGACGCAAAAAGTAGTATTCCGATTCGTATGACCGCATACATACCTAGAGGTACCATGGCAAAGACGACGTGGTCAACCCACGTCAGACTCTCGCTCATGAACTGCCTTGCAAACTGATCTCCGAAAAGAGCAATAACCCTAGATAAGAATTCTATCAGTCCCAATTCAGAACTATGATAGGCAAACTTACGGTGCAATATCGGAAAATAGATTAAAAGCAAATTCTGCATCATCCGCTGCGGCGGCAGTACCCGCCAAAAGAGTCATGATGAGAAGACGAAATCCCATGGTGGATTTCATAGCGTTGAATAGCATAATTTCAAAAGAATATCGGAAAATTGATTAGACTAGAGGGGAGGTTTCATGGAGGGTCAGACACTATGGGTTCAACGCAGCTTTTGTCGTGATAGTACAAAGTCCCCTCGGAGCCCTACAGACAACCCCATAACTCACGCTGCCACGTCTCATCTGCGAAGTGCAGCACATGAAGTCCGAGACCCCTGTCACTATCACTCGTGAGGGGTAGGCAACCTGATAGCACATTTGATCAGAACATATAAAAGACATCTATGATTGGGATTTTTACGTGAATTATGGAGACAATGGCGCTCAATATTGAGCGGCCGCATACAGGCCTCTTTCCTGAAGAGTCAGCGATAGACAATGCCAAGCCAGAGCCTGCTTTTCAGCTGCCCAGGGTGCTTAGCATCGGTCAGACGACAGCCAATACAGAAATGGTCCGGGACGGCAGAAATACCGTGATTATGCAGGTTGGTGGCAGAATGCCCGCACCAAGAATGCCACTGAATTGAGAAATGAGTGAGTAGACTGGAGTGTCCCATTGAGATGTGGTTGCAATGGTCATCAGCCAATATTGTGTCACTCACAGAATTTATTTCTTTCGCCCAGGCCAGCCAGATAATTTTAAGCTAACTTGAACGACTCCATTAAAACATGTCAGACCCACAGCTATTGGTAGCCAGATGGATAAAACCAAGGTTACTAGAATCCCCAATAAGAATAAATCTCTCGGTTGACTTATCCGGGTCTTGAGCTGTTGAACGACATGCTGGCTCGTAGCCCCACTACCGACTCTACAGATACTACTTGAAGCTAGTAGTTCACAAGTGTATGTTGATCTATGTAGTCCGGGTAGTCGAGGCTTGGTTGCCAGTCGACTTTTGCATTACATGAATACATACAAGGTTGTTTGAGAAGTGGACTGATAAGGACAGATACTTCTGAAGTGCCCAAGGGTCCGAGCTCAAGACGACGTGCGAAAGAAGTAATTGGTCTAATGGCCATCGATTCCACGATAAATTGACCTCATACCTGACTGGGTCTTTACAGTCGCTTCTGAATCGATGTTCTGGAATTCTGCCGCTCTCATCGGGATAGTGGAAGCTGTTGCCAGGTATCCCGCCAATGAAATGTGACATGTCAAACTCCGCATTTCACCGCTCTCTCTCCACTTCAGCGCCCTTCACCTTTGCGCTTACTTGAGTTATTGGGTCAACTTTTGATATGGCTACAACGCCGAGATACAGCATCGAAGGTATTCTCACCAACGTTCGGAGCGATGATCACAATGCACGATTCTCCGTCCGCCGGAACGGAAAGGTATTTTACATCACCGTCTCACCCACTAACTTTATCAACTCCCCCGACATGACCGAGAAGTACATGGCATATCTCGAAGTCCTCAAGTCACGCGAGGAGGTCATAGGTGACATCTATGATACCGATGTCTACGAATGGGTCATGGCTCCCTTTGAGCCGCTCCTAGTTGAACTCGCGCCTCCACCAGCAAGTGATCCCCAAGACATCCAAATCACTCTCGAAAGGCATCTATTTCCTGATTTCTTTGTCTTTGAACTACACGTCATTGACGAAAGGTTATGTCCTCGACGGGTTGCAGCCGAGGAGTCTCCTGTACGTCCATCATTTCTACGCTTCGACGATGACTTTCTCGATGACTTGGAGACTTGGACTGCCTTCTATGATCCCGCTGGAATAACTTTAAGCTTCCAAGATCCCGAGGATGCGCTTTTCAAGCCGCCTAGTAAGGTTCTCATCGACAACCGTAAGACCGAATGCTTTTTCAAGCCGTGCAACTCTAGCGTTCAGACTAAACGCGAACTGGAGACGTATAAAATGATCCAAGCAGCTGGGTTGGACTCAAAGTTTAACCTATGTCGCGTTTATGGCCTTGTATTAGATGAATATGAATTCGTCCTTGGGGTTTTGTTAACCTATATCGATAACCGGGGTTGTCCGTTGTCAACCAAGATCGCTCCTGGGGAACCAGGCAATCCTCCGCCTGAAGTGAGACAACGATGGATGGACCAGATTGAGGCTGCTGTCTCGGGCTTGCATGGCGCTGGCATAGTCTGGGGAGATGTCAAGGCCGAGAATGTCTTGGTAGATCAGGATAATAATTCGTGGGTCACGGATTTCGGAGGAGGCTATACTAGGGGCTGGGTTGATAAGGAGGTGGCGGAAACCATGGAAGGGGACCGGATGGGTATGGAGAAGCTAAGAGAGTTTATCTTTCCAGCTACATCATAGGCCATGCAGTAATGAAAGCTCATGCTGGATCATGAGGATTGTAGAGGGATATAAGACCTGTAGATAACCTCGATGCTACGACGAAGCGGCTTCAGCACAGTTTGTATCCGTATCACCGACCACCGTCCCACTCAAAGCAAAATTTTACTTGGTATAATAATTAATTCTTCCTCAGTACCTAGTCAGCTACTGCAGCCTCCCATATGCCTTTCACATAATCATCCTCAGAAAAGTCCAGCGGCCATGCGATATTCAACAACACCCTCCTTGCATCCTCCCACTTCTCTAACTTCATATCTCGGCTCTGTTCCTTTATAATCCTCTCGAAAAACGGCCTCAAACCAGGTTCTCGCTCCATATCCCCTAGTTTCTCATGCAAATAAAGACTCATCAGTCCCAGAAGCGATTCCCAGAACAACAGCTCTGTGATCTCTCCCGTGTTTGTCTTCTGAAGAGCAAAGGTGAGATCACGTTGGAATATCCTCATGCTACAGAGATATATCTCCTTTGTAAAAGGACGCCATAAAACAACTACTTGCTCGAGGAATAACTCTGCTGCGATGACCAATCCGCACCATGAAGTCTTTTGCTCAGCTTCTGAAGTGGCTTCATGTTGATGGTCGGTGGATGTGATTGAGGTTTGGTGCGATTCAAGAACTGCGTCGTAAACTCGAGCAGCTGCACCAGTCCTCCAGAAGTCATCGTGTATCTTTTGAGCTTCTGTGAGGTTGTAGAATTCGTCGTTGACTTGACGAAGACTGTTTACTATTGACGCGCTGTAAACATCAGAGAGCCTTGCGCCGATGTCAGGCAGTATGAAGAATGTTGAGAAGAGGCGTGTTGCTTTGAGTTTGAGACAGTGTAAGTATTGTCCTTCTGACTTGTACCATTTGTGCATAAGACGCATGGGATGAGAGACTGAGAGGGTGCTCTTTTCTTCGGTTGACTCTTCAGTGCGGAGGATGCCATGAAGAACGGTCTGCACGCCATGGATGAAGGTGGAGGTTCTGGGATATTAGTGAACGCCAGCTTGAGTAAGAGTGACAAATGCTCACAATACAAAATAGCGATCAGAGAGTTCTTGGTCACAGGTCTTGCCATTGGTATTCGACGAATCTGCTGTCTGGCATGGTAGAGCGTAGATGACATTTAAATGTTTCGCTGCCATTTGCATATCACCACTACAGAACTAATACTAGATTAGTACAACTGAAACAAGGACCGAAATCCATTTGCATACCTCTGTATATGCCAGGGTAGCAATCTGTTTGGTGATGGCAGCTGAAAGCTTGACATCTCCACTGGCAAGCCATTTTTTCACCAATCGCACGGTTTCAATACGGTGAAAGAGGAATGTATGCTCAAATGCTTCGAGGCTGCCGACCTTGAATGTAAAATGAGTAGCTGCCATCAAAATCGCATTGCGGAGGGCTTCAGGGTCCGATATGGTATATGGCATGCTATCAATGTTAGCATTGGTTTGGGACGGGCTTTTTAGACATACCAATCTTTGTTGTGGTTTATGACAGATGTGACAAGGGTTTCGCCATAGACAAAAGGCCTGTTAGTAATTGATCATTGGTGGTGGATGATGAGACGTACAGTAATTGAAGAGTTCATGTGACTTGAGGGGCATGTCAATGGCCATGCAGTCCAGCGTCGTTCCAGAGCCCGACAAAATAAGCTGGCGGACCAGAGCGTGCGTGTTAGGCACCTCAGGCCCCTTGGAAGAACTCGGAGCCTCCCAGGGGACATGCTCCCACGGCTGAGTCGCCCCAGCCTTCTCCAGCGCCCGTCTCTCCCTCAGCGGTATCTTGACAGGCGGATATTCACATGCCCTCTTACTATTAACGCAGTTCTCACTGCCAATTTACACAGTCAGCTTTTCTTCTCCCGAGACAAGCCTAGCCTGGCTCTTCTTGCTGGGATCTCACCATGTGGGACGCTGCTCGTCACAGCGCACCCTGCGGCTTCGGCACTCTGAGCAGCCAGTGCGGCTTCGCGTGTGGGCGCGCCGCTGTCGGACTTTGCCTTTGCCCTTTGTTTCGTCAGTGGCGTGACCGGCCATGGCTTGTGTGTGGTTTATTAATCTTTGCTTATCCGTTTCGGTGAGGAGTTGGGAGGAGAGGATGGAGGGAGATCCATATTACGCGCGTGTCGTAAGCACTAGACAGGGTTGTTGATAGGTGGGGATGTTTGGGCCAAGGCCTGCTGTTAGGGCCTGACTTGTATGATTTATGCTGGGATGTTGCTTCATGGGTGTTGGGCGTGGAGAAATACCTCGTCTAAATGTCCGGATGCGTTGAAAGGGGTATTGCAGTAACATCAGCCTCGAAAGATAGAGTCTCTTTGGGATAATTTGACGAATACGCGCATATTCTGTTGGTGTAGCTTGGAGTATGTCAGGGATATAGGAAAATTATAGAAAGATATGAATAATTCCATTTATCATGGTTAAAGAACTAACTGTTCTTTTACTTTATTATCACATTGAAGAAAATGAGAAATGGAATAATGGTCTTCTGATCTGAGTAAGAAATAAACACACTACACAGAATACTCCCAGCTTTGCTGTTATACAGTGTCAGCACCGAGATATAATAATCCTTCAGCCCTATCTTTAGCGTCCCCTACCTAGCTAACCACTACCCAGCCTGCTGAAACCTGGACCGCATCTCTTCAAGACTCCTTCAAGTACTGCGAGACACTATGAGAGCAAACTCACTACTGCTAACCCCTCTGTTGCCTCATCATTAGAGTTCTTGCTTGTAACTTGGCATTTTTCACTTCCCACAGTTTCTCAACAGCAGCCACAAACTCATCGTAGTTCACCGTGTTCCAATTTCAGCATCAGTCTCATCTTCATACTCAGCTAGCCGACGCCACTCAGGATCAAACCATATTCCATGTCTATTCTGAACCCTGCCCCAGCTCTCATGGTTCGTCCAAGGATGTGAGAAATTGGCCCTGTGCTTGGGATCCTGCATCTTGTAGTCCTGCCACACAGTCCATGGGTTCCAGCTTGCCTCAATGACAAAGCGGTGGAGCCTTCCGACGGCTGTATGGACTGTTTCATAGCCAAGTAGCCGGTCTTCCTTTACAAGACCTTCATCTTCCATGAAAGAACCTAGGCTAGCGCATAGCGTCTCCCAGTATTCTTTTCCGTCGTTATCCTCGTTAATAAGCTTAAAATCCAGGGGGTTCTCTCGCAGAGCCGTGACAAGTCTTTGCAAGACTTGTATCTCGTGCAACTGAACGAACTGGTAGTCAATGAGAAGCTGGATCTTTTTCTCAAATATGTCCGCAGCCTCGCCCTGATATGATTCCTTCCAGCTGGTTAACGGGTCCGCAATGTCCAGGAAAAGTCCCCAGAGGATATTGCCAATATTTGTGCTCTGACGCCAAAGAGGTAGATCGTAGGGGTCATGGGGCCAGGTGCCCAGCCAGGTTCTCATTCCAAGAGGGCAGTCATGATGGACGACGGTATGTATGACGACTGCGTTTGCCCCACGACGTTGATACTCCTGCAGAATCAGCTCGAGGAAGGACGTTGAACAGTGAGATCTGAGAGCTATATCCATCGGCTTACGTATCAGGCCTGGCTTGACGTCTTGGTCGTACGGTCTTATAGAAAACTGGCGAAGGTTCATACGGTAAGGCAGAGAGTACCCATTGTTGTGTAGTATTGCGATTATCTCACAGATCCCCTCAACACGAGCCGTGTTAGAAGTCTTGCCCAAAAGATCAATTACGAGCTCAGGCATATGATGACAGTGCTGATTGTTGCTATACCAAACTTGATCCTTCTGCTCATTTGCCTCGTATCCTTTGCTCAGTAACCATCTGATTGCTTCAATACACCTGTCAATAGGCGCAGAGCCAATGGCAAGGCATTCAAGTACATCGTCGATGGGCCTGTGGTGTTTGTGAGCCTCGTCAGATGGGCATTGGCAGGAGACCTTCCAGGTAAGGTCCATGGGAGGCTTTGCCAGATTGTAGCATTGCTCCATTGCTTCCACGTCTGCACACCTAAGGGCGGAGTGGAAGACAGCGAAGTTGTCGGCACAATAATATGCTTGACGTAGCTCGCGGAAGAACACTCCAGAACTCAATGCCAAGTTCTTGAAGTCCTGATGCGATAGAGTCTACTCATCTTTCCCAGGCTCACCTTTCCCAGGCTCACCTGTAATGTTAAGCAGAACCTCAACGGGGAGGAGAGCCAGACGTCCCTCTTGTTGAGCTGGCTTTTCTTGGTGTTGAGGTCGTGAAGAAGTCATCTGTTTGGATGAAGAAGAAAGTGGAAGGTCCTCGATATGGTGGTCAGACATATTTGCTTTCTGTGATTTCGTGTGAAAATGCGTGTTCGCGCGTGATATGGAGTATGGTGTATGTTGTGGTTTGTTGTAAAAACTCGATACTGATAGAATGTTGTATAGCTTAGGAATATAGCCTACATTTATACTCAACGTGAAATACAGAGCAATGCCGAAATCGGGATAGCAGGTGATGTGTACTGGCGTGTTAAGCTGCAATGGAGTTCACTTACTGTTCATGAAACAACAGGGAATTTGTACCTTTGTTTCAAGTCTTCTGCCCCTTTAATGGATGTGGGAACATCTCAACGAACAGTTGATCGAGAGCATTTGTCGTACTCAGGCCCTTCTTCGGCAGCAACCTGAACAAAAGATCAGAAGCCTGAACTGTATGCCATGGCCTATAAGGCTAAGATTTAGGCTGCAAACACAGATAATGAATGATACACGATATCCTTTTTTCTAATATAAGCCTTTACCCAGAAGCTTTTATAATAACCAACATATCTTATTACAAGCCCTGGGACATTGTAAAGGGAAGAGACTAAGAGGTTATAAGAAGGGATATAACCTCGAGTTTGCATCTCTGCGTATGTCATATACTTTATTACCAATGCCAATTATGAACATGTAGCTTGTGGAGGCCAGAGCTGACCTATCATCAAGGCGCTCTCAAGCCTGGGGTCCGGTTGAACAAAGGAAGTAATCCAAAAATTCAGTCAATCAGCTTATGATATTCTGGTACCAACTTTATCGCAATCGAGTAACCTGAAGTTCTATAACATGGTTTCGGCCCTTACATCAAAGTCCCATGTCGTTTATCTATGAGAACCTTAGTCGCATCTGACAAGCAGGCACTGACAAGTACATAAAGGCATGAAGCCCCAGCAGCCAAGATTTGATAGTACCTTACTACT